GGGGGGGGTAGCAATGTTCTGGATGGATTGTAATTGTAAGATCTCTGTCTCTTCTCATGTCTTATTAAATGTTCTAACCAGCTTTTAATCGTTTCAGGGTTAATTGTCCCTTTTACTTCAAGATTGGTGCTTGCCGCCATGGAGATCGCTGTTCCAGACTTCACAACAGACCCACATTCAGTCAGGTAACTTATTACCCTGCTTTATCTCATTCATATTTAAAGACAAAAAAAACAATGAGAAATGAATACTTAACACTTTGTGATCACTTGGCGGTCACCGGGCCTGATAAGTCCGTTACAGTCACTCTCCTGGCTGGGTGACCAGATGGGGTATTTTGCACCCTGGCTGTGTGAATGTGGATTCTTTATCAGTATTGTACAAAAAGGAGTGCTTTTACAATATATAAATATAAAACATAGTAGGCCTACAAGTATTTATGCCTTGCGAAAGTAAAACATGACGTGCGGATAGGGTTAAAGAGAATATATAGCATTGGTTTGGGGGGGGTTAGTTTGAAGCTTTGTTTGACATAAATAAACCTGTTTGTTTCCATTGGCAACAATGGCCGGGCTAATGGTTCGTGCAAAACAAAAAAAATCAACAAAGCTGGCACAACTGCTTGCTCTAGATCTAGTAAAAGCTGCAGTCAGGGGTAGTTTATTAACTGGGCATTATTTGTCAGCTGGACAGAGAATTATTGCTGATAACAATTTTCATTCAGTTTCATGTTATCTTTTTTTTTTTGGTCAGCATTCAGAAAACACTTTAACAGTTTTGAAGGCGCCCCTAAAAGATGACAGGGGTTTGTGTTAAGTTATTGCACAACAGATTTTCTTTCCTTGGACTCTTGTTTTATCTACATTGGCTGGCAACTTTGTTGTTACTGCCCCCGTCACGACTAGGATTGCGGCATTCACGCAGTTGTTTGTAATATGTTTCTTTGAGACTAACAAATGTAACAATTTGCAAGTCTCTTCTTTTTTTTTTTGCATTATTTTATACACCCCTTATTGATATTGTAATACAACTTTCCTGGTGGTGAGAAACTTTCTTTCCAAATTGAGGTCAGGGTTTATATTATGTGTTTAGTTTTTCTTTACCACTACTCATTATTTATGCTTTAATATTTTCTTTTTGATTCTCTCTCCACAGACAATTTTACTTCAGAATCTGTACATGAACCCTCAGAACGCAGCTCTCACTGCTGATGGCTCACACAGTAAGTGCATACGGGTCAAAACATTGCATGCTCAGGGATGTAATTCTTCCGGCTTTTTACGGTTTTTCCGGCCGACTTGCCATTTGCATACCTGCCAACCCTACAGAAAAAAATCGGTAAATCGCCGACTTTTGGGTCAAACTACCGATCCACCGATTTTGAGATGAAGCCACCCACTTCAG